GAGTCTATTGTTGTTTTCTCAACATGAGGCCCTGTAACCCACACAGGGGTGATTGGTGATTGAGTGAATGGGTGCTATAATATTTGTTTGACTCGATGATTGAGGGGCGTTGGGTTCATGGGTGGGGGAGAATAGACCCAGTATATGTTACCCATCGAAGTCGGAGTGCATCTGCCTGAGATGCTGGGAACCAGTAGTATGCTTACAAATCACATCTGTAGGACAGATTGGCAAGTTCTGGAACAAGGTCAAAGTCAGGAAGTGGACAAACAACCAGAACTTTCTTCTGGAGTTTACGGCCGGTGAACGCAAAGAAAAAATGAGAATTGCGCCGAGTTTTATCCCATATGGCTTGGTCTCTCTCCCTCTTTTCCCAGAGCGGCTAGTTCGACCACGAGCCGGCTGCAAAAAGCACGAATTCCGGGGCTCCTGCAGCGATCTCATATGTCTTCAGAACTAGCAAACCGAAGGACGGTGTTCTGCAGTCGAACTTCAGCGCCCGAGACAGACAACTTAATCACTTGGCCATGGAAACCCACTTCTCTCCCCAACCCCTTCTTTGCTTAACTGATTGACTAATCGATTGAATAATATTGGCTAAATATATGTAATACTTGATTGAAAGAATCAATGAATAAATGTTAGAATTAATGAATTAATTACTAATGATTGAATTAATGAAGACCAGAATTAATGAATTAATTACTAATGATTGAATTTATGAATAAATGCATGAACTATTTAATCTGTGACCGAATGTATGAATTAATGACTAATGTTTGAATGAATGAATGAATGAATGAATGAATCATTGAGTGAGTGACTGGTCGAATGAATTGAAGAATGAATGAAGGGATTAATTAATTACTAACTGACAAACACTTAACACAGTCCTAACGCCCACATACCTCACATTTAAATAGTGTGTAAAGTTCACATGTCTGGTGTGCGGTTACCCCGGCTGGAAGTAAAGAAAGACCAAACAAGTCTGTAGCGTCCCTGAGGTCACGACAGGAGACACGGCTAATTTCTCACGGGAACTGCCAGTACAGGTACATTGGGATGGCTGCTGCATCGGAGGACTGAGCACGCACGGGAATGGACGGTGTGCAGTGACGTCGATTGTGATAACCCAACATTAGATCGGGTGTCATTAACTACATCTCTGCGTGTGGGTTCCCAGGTCCCACTGTGGGGGAAACAAGGATAGACCCACTGCCTCTCCAAAAAGCATGTCGTAGGAGTCGAAGTACATCTGCCCGAGAAGTAAGGAACCAACAGTCTGCATACAAAAAATGTCAGACTTGTAAAACGGATGTGCACACATAACACTCAAGATTCTAAAACATGACGAAGGTTCAGAGATGGACGAACAACCAGAATTTTACGCCGGCGTTTACAGTCAGTGACTGCGAAGAAGCTGAAGATTAATTACATTCTTGACATAATCGATTACCACGGTTCCAGTTTCTCATGTCTGCACGATGCGTCCGTCCCACGTGATGGCGGAGCTTTGGTACAACAACAAATCATAACGCTTTTATGTCAGTCAATATGGCGATCGATACACGTGAACTAGTTTTCCTGGTCTTGTATGGGGGCCTTCATCACACATTTTACACAGGCACTGAAACCTTGGTCTCGGGCCCCTCAGGAGCACCCACGCCCCCCACCCCCCCCCCCCCAAAAAATTGTGGTTGTTGTAAAGTCTAGTTGAATGTTAAATTAGGAAGTGACAGCACTCTGGACACTCTCAAAAGCGCTCTGCTCCCATCTTCAGCAGCAAGCGAAGAGTTCCAATTAGATGGCACCAGTAACTGTCTTATTATATATCCGTCTCGCCTTTTCCTTGAGTGTTGAGCGTCGGCCAGATCCCCTGGTAGCTCCCCGCAGCGCCATTCTCTTCACACTGTAATGATCTATTTGTGCCTCTGCACTGTTCCCTCGCTCACAAAGGGCCCCACAACATCTAGCTTGTCATACATCAGTTCACCACCAAGTGGTGCAGAACCGGCCAGTCTTTTGCCTGCTCGATTCCCAACGCACAGGCATGACATGGAGAAAAAAAATCCAAAGGACGCCAACTACCCGAGACTACTGAAGCGATGCTTGACACTCTGCACGGAGCATGCCTGTTTCCACCTTTTTCACCTTGCTCTGTGAGTCAGTTTCGAAATGTGTGTACAACTGATTTGTTTTGTCTAGTGTGGGTGGGTAATGTAGAAAGAACTCCGGGGTGAAAATGATAAAATAAATCAGGCCTTAGTCTTTAGTGTGACTGTGTGTGTGTGAGAGCATGTGTGGATTTGTATATGTTGGTGGGTGTGTGGGCATGTTTTGTAGCTTTGTATGTGTGGGTGTTTGTGTGATAGAGTGTAAGCATGGGTGTATATATGTGGGTGTTTATGTGTGGGTGTGGGTATGTGTGTGGGTTTATGTGTGTGGCTGTATGTGTGGGTGTGAATTTAAGCATGGGTGTATATATGTGGGTGAATGTATGGGTGTTTATGTGTGGGTGTGTATGCGTGGGTGTGTGTATAAGTTAGCGTGTATGTGTTAGTATGTATGTGTGGGTGTATGTGTGAGTGGCTGTGTGAGTGTGTATGTGTGGGTGTATGTATGGGCGGATGTGTATGTGTGGTGTGTATGTGAGAGAGTTTGCGTGTGTGGCTGCATGTGTGGGTGGGTATGTGTGGGTGTGTACGTGTGATTGTGAGTGTGTATGTGTAGGTGTGTATGTGCAAACGGTGGAGCCACGACCTCTCTAAGAAGACGTGCCCCACTGCTGTTGTCAACTAAGGCATGGCTCTATTTACTTGGCGGATGGCGAGAAGCGCATTACACCGCTGGAGAGCGTGTTTATGATAATGAGGTGAATGAAAACAGAGGAAAGTGGACCAAGTTACAAGTAAGACTACATAGCTGTCACATCCGGCAAGATGTCGGTCAACGCGGGATCTTCAGGCACAAGTCAATGAGTTAATCTCAAAGTCTGCCGATTACAACTGACAGTTTCCGTCACCGTGGCACATTTCTTCTCCCTGTGCCATCGTTATCAAAATAATCACTGTCCACTTCTGCTAATGAGAAGAGTGGGGAGGAACAGTTTGCGATCCATTGCTTGTCACTCCGTGACGGCTTGAAAGCTGTTTAATGTCATCGATCCATCGTTTCCTAAAGCGATCTCTCGCTTTCACTTAGATCCCGCGTTAGCGCAGTCGATGAGAGACTTGCTTTCAAATCCAGCTGCGACTCGCTGCAGCTCACTGTCGGTGTTCGAAACCGGGCGGTTCCCGGGGTTCACCCAGCCTTAAGGAAATGGGTACTAGAGTTGACACTCTGGGATAAATGGAGGAACGTCGCTGTAGCTAAGGAGTTACGTGCGGACGGCGACACAAGCGGACAGTTTCTTATCAGCTGTCCGTACTGGTGGCAGTGCACTTATGGTTTATAACCGTGTGCAATGACGCTGGTTCACATCTCCCGACTTTACCTTTTACTTTTATATGTAGCGCCCGGGTTGGTAGTTGTTCTGGCTGTTTTCTAAAGATGACCAAACCCGTTTGACCTTCTGTTGCTCAGTGAATTTGCTGCATTGTGTTGTTCCCACAGTCTGTCGGTGTTCGTCCTTAAAGACGGTTTGCACTCTGTATTGTGGTTTACAGTTATGATGCGATATCGAACTAACACACCCAATTACCGCAAATCCAATGGTTTTTGTCACCCTTTTCAATATGCTAGCTAAGGGGCAGCGGGTCGACCCCCCCCCCCCCCATTTTTTGTGTCCCTACAAATGGGGCTTCGGAACGCACATATGGAGTGCTATGGCAAACTATTTTTAAGCACTTCCCAACTGTCCTTACAGGCTGTGTTTTACTGCTTTTGAAGTGTGGAAAGTAATGGGGAACGTTCCTAACCGTACTGCTTGACGCTGCCTAAGACCGGCTCCAGCTGACGGGCCATGCTGCTGCCGTCACCAAACCGGGCTAACGATACGCTAACGCAGCTTTTCTCAAACTTTTTTCGTCGGGAAAAAAATAATTTTTGCACACCTACTCTTAAAAGCAATTTGAATACTTAAGAAAAGAATTGGGGTGGGGTGGGGGGGGGGGAGTGGGGTTAAGTTTTTAAAAAATTCTTGATTATTGCCGCGACACCCTGAGTTACGCTAGCTGCCCCCCTCCCCCAGTGTGCGTTAACTTGTCGTTTGCCCGGTTTGGTGACGTCAGCAGCATGGCCCGTCAGCTGGAGCTGGTATTGCGCTGCCCATACGGCCGTTTCCTTAACGACGCTGTTTAATTTGAAGAGTTTCTACGAGTAAAACCGTGCAAGTAAAATAATATTAATGAGACCACAAGAACAACAGCGGTTGTCGCTCTGGTTGTTTGGAAGGCAGGGTACCTCAAGTTTCATCATTTCATGGGAACAGTCAGTCGAGGTAACTTGGAGTGACTGCTGTATCAGAGAACTGAGCACACATGGGAATGCCCCATGTGTAGTTACGTCGATTGTGATAACATGACAAGGCATCAAGGTTAAACAGTGCAGACCTGATATGGAGAACCCATCGTGGACCCAAGAAATGGTTCTTTTTATCAGAACACGACTCAACTCCAAAAGTGGACGAAAAACTAGAAATGTCCTCTGTTTACAGCCGGTGAACTCTAAGGAGGAGGAGTCGGAGTATGTTTGCTTTTTATTTCGTAATGAGCATCTCGTTAATTTATAAACAGTTTTGTTTCGTTTCTTTCCACAGATCTACGCTTTTGTAAAAATGAGAAGGTCCAACACTGACGGTACATACCCGATAAAAAACATCGTCGAGACAACATCATCAAATTTACAGTAACATCCCTCCTTTGCTTTGTTGCTGAAAATATGTATTTACGAAACATCACCAAACCAGGAATTTGATTCTGCTTGTGTCTTCTTCAAATGATTAAACAACGTCATTCAGAAACCCGATTTTATATTTTCTAATTGCCAAGGGGAAGTAAGCCATGGTGGATGTAGAATACATAGATACTACAGAGCGGGGATACAAGCGGTTATCGTCCCTGCTTGGGGTGTCTCAGGTGCAGAACCAGAAGTGCCAGAGATGTGGGCAGACGGTCTACCAACAGGAGAGGATCGGCCCAGTTAACGATGTTATCTTCCACAAGCAGTGCTTTAGGTAAGTTTGATTACAGTTAGATCAATCAGTCAGATAAATGCTTCAGGTAAGTTTGACTACAGTTCGATCAATCAATCAGGTAAATGCTTCAGTTGAGTTTGACTACAGTTAGATCAATCAATCAGGTGAATGCTTCAGTTGAGTTTGACTACAGTTAGATCAATCAATCAGGTGAATGCTTCAGGTAAGTTTGACTACAGTTAGATCAATCAGTCAGGTGAATGCTTCAGGTAAGTTTGACTACAGTTAGATCAATCAGTCAGGTGAATGCTTCAGGTAAGTTTGACTACACTTCCATCAATCAATCAGGTAAATGCTTCAGGTAAGTTTGACTACAGTTAGATCAATCAGTCAGGTAAATGCTTTAGGTAAGTTTGACTACAGTTAGATCAATCAATCAGTCAGGTAAATACTTCAGGTAAGTTTGACTACAGTTAGATAATCAGTCAGGTAAATACTTCAGGTAAGTTTGACTACAGTTAGTTAGATCAATCATTTAGGTAAATACTTCAGGTAAGTTTGACTACACTTCGATCAATCAGTCAGGTAAATGCTTCAGGTAAGTTTGACTACAGTTCGATCAATCAATCAGGTGAATGCTTCAGGTAATGACTACAGTATAATCAATCAATCAGGTGATCCCCATGCGGGTCTAGGGATACCTGGGGCGGAGGATAGACCCACTGCCGTCTAACAAGTACGTTGTAAACGGCTACTAATTATGGGAGTTTCCTTCGAAGTCGGTGTGCATCTGTCTGAGAGGCAAGGAACCAGTGCTGGATTTAGACATTAGCCAATTAAACCACAGTTAAAGACCTTACAGTCTGCAAGGTCTTTTAACAAATTCTACCCCACCCCCCCCCCCCACCCCCCAAAAAATGCAATTTTTATTTGTATTTTCATAAACGAATGGCTAGAACGCTGGGCTTTCATGCAAAAGACCCACGTTCGAATCCTTAATGATGTTGGTGATTTTTTTTTCTGCGGTGAGAGGGGGCGGAAATAAAAATCTCACCTGCACAGTCCGTGGCGACACACGGACTGTGCAGGTGGGATTTTCATTTCCGAAAGAATTATAGTTAATATTACAACTGGGGAAAATATAATAGTCACTGTCGAATAGGACATTTTCAGGTAATGGGAGAACACAGATAGAGGTCTTGAAAACTTCA